CATTTCTGGTCATATAACTGTGGTCACCAATCAATACCAAGTCTTATCAAAATAATAAAATAAAAGATATGAAAAAAAACCTTCTCCCACCGTGTACAGTAAATTTACTTTTCCTGAATAAATGTCTTCCATGGCTAAAGCTGGCCTATGCACCCATAAAGCAGTCCATGGGGAATGGGGACATAGCCCTAGCTCTGTATTTATTTTCTTGTATTCATAATCCAATGTTACTTTAAAAGCAAACTGCCCAATATTCATGCCAAAGCAAATATTCCAGATTTTGCCAGGCAAAATGCCTGTGGAGAAATGAGTCAATTCATACAAAATTCAAAGCTGTCTTTGGTCACTGACATTTTCATGAAAATCTGTGGGTGGGTAAAAGTTTTGCAAAATTCTTTTTTGCTATTGGGCAAAATTCATCCAGGAAAAATAAGCAACATTTAAGTGGCAACCCACATTCCCCCTAATTCCCTTATTAACACTCCCTAACCTCCCAGCACAACTGCTTTCTATTATGTGCGAAGGCAAGGCATAATGTTTCCGATCTTGGCACTGAATCCCGTCCTCCTGCTCAAGGTAAGCTTTCGCACGAGGGGCAGCAACACTCCCCACTCTTCAGTGTAAAGGCATCTATGGCAAAAATCAAGACGCTGGACTATATGAAGAGAATGCACCATGAGGATTGAAAGATGATTCATTAACAACCTTTGCTATGTGCATAACTAAACCTTGCTTGCTGAAAGTGAAGAGGACTTGAAGCACATACTGATGAAGATTAAAGACTAGTGTCTTCAGTATGGATTACATTACAATATAAAGAAAACAAAATCTTCACAACTGGACCAATAAGCAGCATAATGATAAATGGAGAAAAGACTGAGGTTGTCAAGGATTTCATCTTAATTGTATTTACTACCAATACCCCCAGAAGCAGCGATCAAAACATCCAGCAATATATTGTATTGGGCAAATCTGCTGCAAAAGCCTCCCTTAAAGTGTTAAAAAGCAAAGATGTCATTTTTCAGGACTGAAGTGCCCTGATCCTAGCCATGGTATTTTCAATCACCTCATATGCATGTGAAAGCTGGACAATGAATAAAGAAGACCCAAGAAGAACTGACGCATTTGAATTATGGTGTTGGCAAAGAATATCGATTGACCTATAGCCTATGGAGGCCTTTGCTACTCGGGGCTTTTGCCATTCACTGTATGGGAATATGTCTGCAATCGAGGCCAGATTTGGAAACAGAACAGCTGATTTGGCTTTCTACAGAAGCAACAATAACGAGATCTATAGAAGGGTGGAGTTGTTTGGGTGAGAAAGGAAAAAGAAACCATTCTGTCCTTCCAGCAAGCTAACCAATGATAAACTAACAACTCGCCTCCCATTTGCTGTCACCTGGAACCCTGTGACCTGGATTCCAGAGTTCTGGGTAAGGCTGCAGGGTTACAGTCTGATATTCCGAGAATGTGTTCTCCCATGCATGAAACGGAATTTGATGTTGAGGGAGGGCACCAGTGGGAGCCTCTTACTGTGAGCAGGCTATCACCAAGTAGCCCAATCAACACCTATTTTAACCATGACTTTTAGAAGCTCACTGTGCCACTTGTAGTCATGGTCACCAAACACAACTGGGTCATCAAATCTTTCTTGGGTCAATAAGCTCAGTAAGTGAAAATGATGACTCACTCTAAATAATTTACAGAGTAAATTAATCACAATTAAACATAAGTAAAACAAAAGTACGGCCAGAATGCTCCTTAGAAGTGAGGATGGTGAGACTTCCTCTCACATGCTTTGCACATGTTATCAGGAGGGACCAGCCCTGGAGACACATCATGCTTGATAAAGTAGAGGGTCAGCAAAAAAGAGGAGGACCCTCAATGAGATGGACTGTACAATGGCCACAATAACGGGCTCATGCACAGCAATGATGTGAGGATGGCGCAGGACCAGGCAGTGTTTCTTTCTGTTGGACATGAGGTTGCTATGAGTCAGAACCAAGCTGATGGAACCTAACAATAATAACACAAAATGGACTGGGCAGCATACTTTAAAGTATACCTGGCCTTTGCAGTGTGTGACACTGTGACACAGACACAAAAAACAAAAGATCACTTCACATCTCCAAGAGGACATGGCAAAGATTTGAGCTTTCAATTCACTATCATCAGATGTGAAAGTAGTGGGAGCTAGAAATTTTAAGTTTTAATAGTTCTTTGTGTCTGGGTTCCAAGAGCTTAAGGATGGGTTTTTGGAAGAGGCAGAAACATGCCTCCCCCCAACCCCCGATGTGTATACAGAATAGGTACAATGCATCAGATCCATAAACTACAACTTGACAATACAGACAGTACCCAGGGTACAAACGAGATCTGATCCCATGTCTTTTAAGAATTTATAGTTAAGTCAGAACAGATGCATACAGTCCTTATTTAGCCTTACTTTAGTGCAAGAAAAGGTTTGAAGACTTCAATAATTTAAAGCTGCATGTGCAGCAAGTGAAGGTGATTGTGATGAAGAATTTTATGTGAGCAGGATTTGGTTCAATCATTTCAAAGTGAGGAAAAATTTACATACCATTAAAGGGCAAGTAGGAGTTGTCAGTAAAACATTCGTTTGCGAGGGACTGCCTGTAATTGCAACTCTCACAGCAAAATCGTTTGCTGCTGGTTGGCTCTTGCCCTACAACTCAAGCAGATGCTATGTTGCAACATAAAAGTTACCAGAGAGCATACTGCCCATGATATACACATCTCAGAATGGAAAATGCATGGCCCCATTTTTTAAAAATATATAGTCCCAAGATTAGAATCAGCACTGTTGTTATGTTGTTAGGTGCCATCAAGTTGGCTCCAACTCACAGTGACTGTACATAATACAGAACAAAGCATTGCTCGGTCATGCACCATGCTCATAATCCTTGCTATACTTGAGCCCATTGCTGCAGCCACTGTGTCCAATTCAGCACTAGTCAGCTCCAATACACAGATCTGCACTCTACAAAGTGGAAGTCAAGGCTCTGTGGTTCTAAACCTGCTAAGCTCTTCAGCCTAACAATCTGAATTTTGAGACGATTCTGTCTAGAACTGGAGAGTGGGCAGAGTAAGGGAGAGAGAAATCAACCTCCCAGATCCCTCTGAGTAATACAATGAAAAGTTATGCCCAGCTCTGTAAACATTCACCTCTCAGCATATTCTTTCACTGAAGTTCTTCTATTTTTAATAGTCATCATGCACTTTAGCAAAAGTCAACTTTATGAAGTTATATGCCTTTGCAAAGTCTGGAAACAGTGGGAAACCCTATTGTACGAAAATTACTTTTGCCATGCAAAAAAAAAAAAAATTTCTTTTCTGGATAACTCAAGTCGTTATGTTTATTTCAGCGCAGCCAAATCCAATGAACTATTTTCAGCCGGGATTAGTCAGAACTAAAAGGTTGGACTGTTTTCCTTCAGACTGACTGTCTTCCCTGCCTGCAAGAGGCTAGTATGTTCCAAACACAGTAAATGGAACTGCCTTCCACTGCCTGTCTCTTTCTGGCTTTTTTAACGCAGAACCTTACTGACAAAGTAAGGTTTTGCCGCCTGGAATATAATTATTCTTTTCACTCCTACAACCTGGCATTCTCACAGTATATCAGCTTTGAGTTTTTCTTAAGAAAAAATCGCAACATGGGGCATAATTTAATGACAAGAAATGCACTTTCATTCCACCAGAAATTCTTCAAACTCCTGCAAAAATATCCACTGGACAGAGAAAATGTGCTTCTACTACCTATATTACAGAGATCACCTATTTGGCTGGCTTTTACCAAATCAGACAATTTGACCAATCTCCAATCCAACATAAATGTGGTCCAGAATCTTTATAATCTAGATACAGTATAGAAAGAAGGGACTCCAGGTGGTGGACCAGAGTACAAATAAGTGTCTTTACAATATGAGTATGTATTTCCTACATTCAGTGATCTGTAGCATGTTCAAAGTCCAGGGGAGTATCTAGAATTCTCAGATTTTTAATTCTGGAGGAATTAAACATTCCTCCCCCCTACACAAACATAAAGCACAAGAGTCCAGTGAGCCATCAAGAATTGCGCAAAGCCGTCTTCCCATCCTGAGAGGATGGGGGTGGTGCCTAGTTTGTATAACTAGAGGGTTTCTGGTAGGTGTGAAATGATTGTGAAATCACTTAAGTATCATATTATTCAAAACTAGTAAAATTACCAAGCAGCAGACATTTCCAGGAAAAAGGAAAGCAGGGAAAAGGGAAAGAGACGTCATGGCCACTTCTTTCAACACCAATGGTACATCCCCTACTCGGCTCCTACTCCTTACATCTGCCCACAAAATTCCCTCTCCTTAAAATTAAGGGAGATCCCAGACACTGCTCCTGTTGTATCCCCTAGGTGTTTTTACACTGGCTATCTACCGCAAACTGATCTTGCAACCCCTAAAGACAGTGTACAGGCATGTTGGTGCATGCAGCTACATTTTCACTAGCCAAGTTGCTAAGGGAGGAGTTCCTTTCCAAATAGCAGAACTACCGCTCTCCAACCCTGATAGCCTAGCCATGTACTTCTTGGAGAGAACGAAAAATCACTGAACATTTGCTTTGGAAAAGTGCTAACGTGCACCGGTGGTGCAGTGTGTGTCTCTGCTCTTGCACATCTCAACATATTTTTGAAATTCAAAGTCTGTGCATCAGTGCTAAGATTTAGGGATAGTGTGGCAGATCCACCTCCCCCATCGTAATGGGTCATGTACCTCTGCAAAGGTCATCTACAAGTGGAGAAAGACCACAGCTGCTTATAATTAAAGAAACCTCACCCTCCTCAGAGCTGAAGAGGAGTGAAACCTCATGACCATCTAGAGCCAAGCATCCAAACTCCAACCTGGAAGAATCTGTCCCTGATTTGTGGGCTGAGTTTGGAAAAACATATGAAAAGCAAGCTAGACCTTCTCTGAACTCAGCCACCACAGGTGGCTTCAGATACTCACTGTGCATTTGTTGGGCTTTTCCCCAGAGTGGACTCGCATGTGGATGAGCAGCTTATAGCGTGCGTTGAAGGGCTTGTACCTGCGTGGACAACCAGCCCAGAAGCAAGTGAAGTCTTCTCCTTTCCGTTGGTCAATATGGACCTTCTCGATGTGCCGCACAAGCTCCTCCTGCTGGTCATACAGGGCGCTGCAATCTATCCAGTGACAGCAGTGCTTGCCCCCGAGGTCATCCATGTCCCCATCCTCCTCCAGGGCAGCCTGGGGTAGGGGCAGGGGCTGAGCATGGGGGACCAGGTCTTGGTGGTGAAGGTGTGAGTGGGCATGGTAGGGTGGTGGGGGGCCTTGGGGTGGGGGTGGCAAGGGAGTGAGAGGGGGTGCAGAAGGCAGGTCCAGGGTGCTCCCCAAGAAGTCATCCGGGCGCTCAGTCTTCAGCAGGCTAGCAGACTGGCCATGCTGTACAACCATGTTGCTGACGAGGCCAGGCTGCAGGCCACCATGCTCCAGCTGCTGCATGCGCTCATATTCAGCCACACCGTCCTCCCCATAGGCTGGGAGTGCTAGGCCACCACTGGCCACCAGCAGACCCTTCTGGTTGCTTGGAACAGAGCAGGGCTGGGGGATGCAGCTACCGCGCACACCCAGGAAATGGCCATAGACCTCTGGCTGAGGGGACGTGTTAGCCGGGGAAGCCCTGGAACTGTTGATGTAGGCAACCAGGGACGTGGGCGAAGTGCGGATGATGGTGTTGAAGTCTATGCCAATGCCATCAGACAGCGGGGACAAGGACAGGGCCCTCTTCTTGGAGCGGGCTGAGTGGGACCTGGTAGAAGAGTTCCGGGGACTAGGGTAGGGAGAATGGCTATTCTCCATGCTGAAAAGGTAGGGCGGTAGTGCATTAGAGACACTGCTGCTGGACATGGGTGTCCCGGGAGGAAGGCCCAGGATGTCCCCTAGATCACTGCCGTTCTGAGATCCATGGTTGGAAGGAAGTGAAGGGAGAGTCCTGTAGCCATGAGCCCACTCTTGTTTCACACTCAATGCTGACTGACTTTCTGTCAGACTCAGAGTCGTGGAAGCCAAAGACTCACGTGAAATAAGGGACCTGGAACAACAGCCAGAAAGGGGTAAGGGGAGAAAAAAAAAAAAGACAAACATTTTAGCAGGAAATGGATTGCTTAAGAGCTAAAAGAACATTGCATTGACAATTCCTTAAGTATTTCCCCTAATTACATTCTTTGCTAAACACACATTCTTTGGCTAAGATAAAACCCAAGGTTTTCAGTTCCAGGTAAATAATATTTTACCAAGAAGAACAATAAAGGCTAATGCTCACTGGGACAATAAAACAAAAGAGCTATTGTTATAAATAATCTTAATACTTTAATGATAATAAATAGTCCTTGCTTTATTTTTAAATATCTTTTTTAATGGAATGGAGAAAACTTAAGGGACCTGGGGATAATAACAGATGCTTGTCTCACCAAACCAGGCAAGCAAGTCTTTATTAAGCCCTTACACTGAGTGCAGCATGCTATAATAAGTTGTACAGGAAATACTAGTCTACACAAAGCCCTAGACTTCAAGTAAAATCTATTTGGTGGGTAAAACATAAACCCATGCTTAATTTGAAAAAAGGAAATCTCCAAAGCCAAAGGTATTCAGAGGACCTAATAATAATTTCATGACTTAGTTTCACTAATATTAAAGAATTCCAAACCGAAAACCAAACTCACTGCCGTCAAGTCAGATCTGACTCATAGTGACCCCTCCTTGGGTTTCTGAGGTGGTATCACTACAGAAGTAGATTGCCCAACCTTCCTTCCAAGGAGTTGCTGGTGGGTTTGAACTGCTAGCTTTCTGGTTAGCAGTCAAATGCCTTAGGCACTACGTCACCAGAGCTCCCTATTAAGGAATTAGGAAGATTAAAAAAAAAAAAAAGAGCAACTGACACTGTCGCTACTCAGCCAGACACAATATTAAATCATTCCAGGAAAGAGAAACAGAAGATAAAGTACAGTTATGATGCATAAGGAGTCCCTGGGTAGTGCTGTGGGTGGAGCATTTGATTAGTAACCAAAAGGTAGGTAGACTGAACCTACCCACAAGTGCCTCAGACAAAAGGCCTGGATACCGACTTCTGAAAAGTCACAGCTTTAAAAACCACACGAACTGTTCTACTCTGCACACAAGGGATCACATGAGTTGGAAGTGACTCAACAGCCACTTGACTAATATATAAGGAAGTTAACAAACTAAGCCTGAATCATGTACTTGGGCTGTGTAGCAGTGAAATAGCACTCATCAATCTAGGGTTTTCGATGAGCCCTTGTCCCTAAATGGGACAAGCTTTGGGGCCAGAGCTGATCATCTGCTTCATTTTTTTTTCCTTCAAAAAACACTTGTAATAGGTTTTCTCCTCCTCTTCCTACCCTTTAAAAATCATACTTTCATATCCTGATGTTATCTGCAAATCCAAATGGTTTGCAATGTAGCCCTAGTCACTTTAAGGTCCATTTTATTTCACTATGATATGGTTGGGAACTCTGGTAGCGTAGTGCCTAAGGCACTTGACTGCTAAGCAGAAGGCTGGCGGTTCAAACCCACCAGCCACTCCTCGGAAGGAAGATGGGGCAATCTACTTCCTTAGTGATACTGCCTCAGAAATCCAAGGAGGGGTTGCTATGAGTTGGGTCCAACTTGATGTCACATAACGACAACAACAACGATATGTTTACCTTACAAATAATTGAAAAGAAAAGCTATGTCCCTGAGATGGAAAAGCTGTCACAAAGAGGTTGGACATCACTCACTCTACTTCTTGACTCAGACATAGAATATACTGGGGATATATGGCTGACTCATTGCTTTCTACGATGTCATTTCCTGACAAAAATTAATCAAAATAAAATATTATATGGAATTTGTGTCTCCCAAAAATAACATTTATGGTTTCCAGTGCTTAAACATCAAAGTGTGGCAAAGGAGCTGAGGGAAGGAAGGGAGAAACATTCTCACCATCCTCCTCTTATTCCTTTCCACAATAAGGAATGATGTATCTTATAAGCATGAGATATTAGTAAGAAGACATCTCAGCTCTGAGATCACTACAACACCATGATCAACATGATGTCTACCAATGACAGACATGACAGGAATGTATGTCCAGTTACCCTTGACACAGATTTCTCTTGCTTGATACACATCCTCATATCCAGGCCGAAGTCCTTTTAGAGGCCCCAATGTGGTTTCTGAGCCTTCTCTTTTTTGGTTCTCATGGACACTTTCCACTGTTTCCTAGCACACTGGTAGCACATGGCTTCATGCTCAGAGCCCAGCTTTGGACCCCTGAGAATTGGATAGCAAACACCTTTGGGTCCCTCCCTCAGACAGACTGAAATGTTGTGTTCTGATCCGAGCTGATAGCAGCTGTGCCAGAGACAACTGACTGTGCTCCCCTTGTACCTGAGAAAGTTTTTAGGAAACAAAGAACCAGAGTGGTACCAGACCTGGGGGTTGAGTAGACACAATTCACAGGTGTTATTTTTGCCTGGTCACTGTCATGTAGGAACATTTCAGATTTTTAAGCAGGGAATAAGAGCTTCTAGTATTTTATCAATCTTTATCTAGAAAATATATTCCAGTTTTTTTACCTTCCACTGAATAGTTTAAGGAGCTCTGGTGACACAGGGGTTAAGGCTTTCAGCTGCTAACCTTTGGCTGGTGGTTCAAACCCACCAGCTGCTTCATGGGAGAAAGAAGAGGCAGTTTGCTTACATAAAGATTTACAAATTTAAAGATTTGGAAACCTTACGGGGCTATTCTATTCTGTCCTATAGGGCCACTAAACCAAAACCAAACTCACTGCCATTGAATCAATTCTGACTCAACAACCCCCTTTGGGTTTCCAAGTCAGTATATCTTTATAGAAGTAGATTGCCCAGTCTTCCTTCCACAGAGTGGCTGGTGGGTTTGAACCGCCAACCTTCTGGTTAGCCATCAAATGCCTTAAGCACTACACCATAGTGACTCATAGGGTCACTATGAGTTGGAATTAACTCAACAGCAGTGGGTTTTTTGGTTTTGCATATTTTGCTTGTGGAGATTATATTATTTGGTTGAGGAAACATGTTCACTTGTTCCATTGTTGAGAGACGCTTCTCATTTTTCTCAAATTTGACCTAAACTGCATTGCCATCCTACAATTCCAACTCATGGCAACGCCATGTGTGTAGTAGAACTGTGCTTCACAGGATTTTCAATGGCTGATTTTTTGGATCTGTCTTCTCCAGGCACTTCTTTCCAGGGTGAAACCCTGTATCCGAGTGTCTGAGTGAATGCTAACCTCCATCATTGCAGTTAGCATCTGAGCATGTTAACCACTGGTACCACCCAGGGACTCCATGTCCTGTCTGTACCCTGCCTTAAGTGCAGCTAGCTTCAGGCATCTGTGTTCGTTATCTTCCTCAATAAAATACAAAGCCCTTCAAGAGAAAGGATATATATTTTTTTTTTTTTTTTGTCTCTCCAGCATCCACTAGAGTGTCAGATACATAGTAAACACTTAAAAAAACTGCTGATTAAGAAAGTGAATAAACCATCATTTACAGCTTGCCAAGCACTTTCCCTATGCAGTATCTCACTTGATATAACCTGTGAGGTAAGTAAAACATATTTTTTTTACTACTTCTCTTTTACAAAGACTAACATTCTATGTTTCTGTGAAATTCCTCCCAGTCACACCAAATTCAAAAAAGAAGAAGAAGAAGAAGAAGAAGAAGAGGGAATCAAAATCCTTCTGGAAATACAAATGAAGTGGCTTTTGATATAGGCAGCTACCTAGCTGGATCACATACATTTTCTGCTGTTTTCCCCATGTCACTCCCCACATGTGGTCCCCACGCTTTGCTTGTTAAGAGACCTGGTGTGCCAGGCTCAAAGTCACACAAGCTAGGATTGAAACCCAAACATTCTGATCTCTTTCTGTAGCACCATGTTGAATGGCTATGAAGGACTGTCATCTGTAACCCCTGCTGATGAGCTCACCAGGCCCATGAGAAAGAGAGTGACAAAGAGCTGTGATGCTATCCATACTAAGAACAATCACCATCTCTGTGTGCTCATCAGACCCTAAGGGTGTAATTTCTGGTGATCTCAGAGCTAATTTGCAAGTGCAGGCAGTCCTTAGGTTACAAATGGCATCCTTCCTAGATGTGTCTTTAAGTCTTTAAAGTGGAATTTGTAGGTCAGTTGGAACAAGTGTATATGATTCTCATTTAGCCTTACTTTAGCGCAAGCAAAGGCCCAAAGCCTTTTATATGACTTAAAAGCTGCGCGTGCAGCAAGTGAAAGTGATTGTGAGGAAGAATTTATGAGTAGGGATTGGTTGAATCATTTCAAAGTGTGGGCAAATTTACATAACATTACAGGCAAGTTGGAGTTGTAAGTCTGGTTCGTAAAACGGGGACTGTCTGTATATATGAAAGGAAAGAAGATACAGCTCAAAAATCAAACCTGTATGAAAAACGCTTGCTAATGAGGCAAGAACTCAGTCTCTCTCATTGGGCCATAAGAAGTGTGATGATCAAGTTGAATTACTTGGTCCAATGCCAAGCTCAAAAGAAGTACTCACAGATCACACAGAAGCCCCCAAACCAAGGCTAAAAACTGGAGATGTGTAAAAAGAGATTTACAGAGTAGATCTAAAAAAGCATTAATAATACTACTGACATAATTAAATGCCCAATAATAAAAAACTGATTAAAATTTACATTTTTATTTATACATTTTATTAATAAAACAGAATCTTGGGCAGCAAGAAGCCATTATTTGATGCCTAAGAAGACGTTTATTACATGAGAAGGTGTTTGTATTAACCAAAAAAGTAAATTATAAAACTATATAGATTATTATATCAATTTTGTAGAGAGGAGAACCCATGTTTATGATGTATGTGCATAAGTATGAAGAAAAGGATGGACCTCAAAAGTCTACACATGGTTGTCTCCAGGTCATAGGATTCAGGATGATTTTTATTTACTCACGTGTGTTTTCCCATATTTTCTACACTTTCTATGTTGCTATTGTTGTTAGCTGTCATTGGCTTAATTTCAACCCAGATGACTCCCTATGTGTCAGGGTAGAACTCCTCTAAAGGACTTTTCAGTGGCTGCTGGAAACCTTTTGGAAGCAGATTGCCAGGCCTGTCTTCCAAAGTGCCTCTGGGTGGGTTTGAACCTCCAACCTAGTACTTGATTGCTCAGTAGTCTGTGCCACTCAGGGACAAGTTTTCTATAATGATGAAGAATTACATAAATAAATCAGGAAAAATAAATAATTTAAAAATATATTTATACATTAAAATAATCCTTTTACCTGCAGCCAGCAAAGTAAGGCTTTGCATAGGGTGGTCATCTCAGACTGAACAATTCATGTCCTTTCTCCTACTCCAGTGCCCACCAGCCCATACCCTCAGTGGATGAAACATGAAGCTGACTCTTTCTCCACCTTCCCTTTATCTCCAGACAGCAGAAAGCCTTCAAGTGGGCTATTATGTCTTATCCGTTCTTTCCTCTGACAAAACACACAAACCAATTTAAGAATCACAAACAAATGTGGCCTTTCCAAATTGCTAAAGGAAAGTTCCAGACTTCACCAAGCCACTTCCCAATTCCTGTTTCTTTGCTCACCTGCAAAAAAAAAAAAACTATTTCCATAGAAAGACTTGCAGAAAACACAGTCAAAAATGCCTGTCAGTGCATCTTGAAGATGTTGTCTTTTAAGAATATGAAATTATGCTAAGGAATCAAATATGCCAGAAAACCCTGAGATAATGACCCTTTCCTGGCCGACCCCATGAAAGGGACTGCGTCAAGTATATGCAGTCTGTGCCGGGCCTACCGTCAGCTTCTCCATTAATTATGTTTCTCTGCCTTCAAGGCATGGGCTGGACTTGCCACAGACAGGAAGCTGAGGCTTCCCAGCGACACCTATCCCAGGAGCACAGTTCATTTTACATGCAACACTCAGCAAGTCTGAGGAGTCCCTCAAGGCATAATCATCAATGGGAAAATGACAGCAGCTTCCCATCACAAAAAGTCTCAGGTGGAAAACAAGTTTCTACCTCACCAAAAAAAGAGGTATTAAAAAAAAAAAATTCCAGAGCTATAATTTCAGAGTCTCAGATAGCAGCTAGGAAGGCAGTGTAGAGATACAAGAGAGAAAATGTGGGGCAGGAAGAGAAAAACAAGAAAGGAGAGAGAGAAGAAACGAGACTTTAGAAATGCAAGATACCTCAGTGTTATTCCAATTGCAGAAGAAGAGGAGAGGTTCAGAGGTCAAATTCCTTCACAAGGTCATTTACAGCAGAAGCAGGGCCGTTGTTGTCCTAACATCAAGTCAAGTGGATTCCTACTCACAGCGATCCTTAGGACAGAGTGGAACTGCCCCATAGGGTTTCCAAGGCTATATCCTTTACAGAAGCAGATTGCCAGGTCTATCTCCCACGGAGCCACTAGTGGGTTCCAACAACTGATGTTTTTGTTAGCTTTCAAGTGCTTAACCACTATGCTACCAGGGCATCTCAGAACCAAGGCTAAGAAGCAAAAACTTTGGATTATGTTTTTTCAAGAAGATAAATTCTGGAAGATGAAATAATTCATTTCAAATATGAAAATAGTCATTACATATTGCCCAGGATTTAAGCTTTATGCCCCCTCTAATATCAACCTTCAGAGAAAAATTTGTCTGAGGGGGTGATTTCTCTATTCTATTCAAATCTCTCCCACAGAGATAGATTCACAGCAGGATGGTATCTACAAAGGGAGACCTGGAGGTACAATGATTAAGCACTTGGCTGCTAACCAAAAAGTTGGTGGTTCAAACCTACCAGCTACTCCATGGAGAAAGATCCAGTGATCTGTTCCAATAAAGATTACAGCTTAGGAAACCCTATAGGACAGTTCTACTCCGTCTTATACGGTCACTATGAATTGGAATCACTCCATAGCACACAACATCAACAACATGGTATCTACTTTTCTGGTAGTTGGCCATGAATTGTCTTAAATTGTTATGTAACTCATACCTAAAAGTATGCTTCCCAGACACATCATAAAGTCTTGAGACTCATGATTTCTCTCTTTATTTTCTCTACTATCTCCTTAAATTGTGGCTATTAGATTATGCAGACTAATCAAAACCAGTAGCCAATGAGTCACCTCCAACCTATGGTGACCCAATGGGTGTCAAAGCAGAACTAGGTTCAAGGGGGTTTTCAATGACTGACATTTTAGAAGTAGATTGCCAAGCCTTTCTTCTGAGGCAACTCTGGGTGGACTCAAACTTCCAACCTTTCAGTTAGCAGCCAAGTGTGTTCACCATTTGCATCAGCCAGGGATTCCAAATAAAGACAGTAAGTACTTAATAAGAACTTGGACAGATGGGTGGAAGGACAGACTGTAAAGTATCCTGGGCCTTCTGCAAAATATACAATGAAAACCTAGCAGGTAAGAGAGGTATAGAGAACCTCTCTATTTTCTAGGCCACAATATGACATGCTTCACCAGGAACTGACAAATGTACACACTGAACTTTGTTCCCCTAAGCCCCAAGATCTCAAATGAAGCTTCATTTCACTCATGCCACAAGACAGCAGTTATGAAATCATTCCTCCCAACTAAGATGATAGTACACTACACAGTTGGTTTCCATCATACTTTCCTCCAAAGCTTAGACTGAAGGAGGCACATGCATGCATGTGCATGTGTGTTCAGGAATAGAAAACACTCACTCGTGGGGTGTGATTATACGATAAATAAGCAAAATAATAATAATAATGCAAGACCTGGTATCTGAAGGAGGTATATTCAGGTTGGCTGCATTCATGGCCCTCTGCAAGCTAGGACTGATGGGGTTGCACACTGTAGAGACCTGGCTTGCTGGAGGTGAAATGGGTCCCAGTCGCTGAACCATCATGGGACTGCTGGTAACCACTAGATTGTTGCAGCTGCTTTTTCCAATGGACTTGCACTGAGGCCCAAAGGCAAGAGCCCCTAAAAATAAATGAATCAGGTTAGCTTCCATGTCCCTTACATCAGAAATCAGTAAACACACACATGTGCACAGTTATATCTAGACCCATTCTTTAGAGACAGCCCTTGGATCATCATCCTTCTTCATACTGGTGATATCAGAGCACTTCCTCTAATTCCAATGAAAAAGTCATAATGCTACAATAGAAACCCTTCCATAATCATCAAACAAAATGTGCTTCTGTTCTGCTACATCTACGTAGAGGTGCTCAGTCATATTAAGAATCATACTTTCTAATCTCCTTACCCAATGGGTTAAGGTGGGAAGTAGATGGGATTACCTATATCAAACCAAGTTTTTCCTAGAATAGCTAGTATCTTGAGTCACCCAGCAAGGAAAGTTGGCATTGCTGAAAATAAAACTTGTTTAACTGGTTTACTTTATTCCCAATCTGGCCTTCCAAAAAATCTCTTTAAGAGGACATAGTCTGGCCATGTTTCTCCAATGTTGATTTCCTCTTCATTCTAATGCATTCTCATTGAACATATACCCAATTAAAAAAAAAAAAAAAAATCAGGAAGAGATATCTCTGAAAAAACCACTCATTCTAAAAGTGTATGATGACCAAATTGGACACAGAGTTTTCAAATTCATGAGTAATGATCTTCCAATGTGGTCAAATTTGGGACATACTCAAAAGGGGATTTAAAAAGAAAGAAAGAAACCCACAAGAATCTGTGTTGTTACAGAAAAACGAAAAGCAAGGAGGAGAAAGGCAAATGTAGTCATGAATCATTTATAAAAATAATAATTGTGGTCTAATCATTCTGTACATTTTCCACCAGATCTTTCTTCTTAAGTGCATAGACTCAGTGCATTTGAGTCTGGGTAGACTCAAACCAGTAACTTTCAGTTGCAGCCAAACTCATTAACTGTTTGTACCACCGAGAGACTCCCATGTTACTTGGATAAAAGCAATATGATAGCTCATAGCCTAGTCCATTATATTATGTACATGGCCAGGTCTCCATGACTCCTCAGTGTGTTCCATTTCTAACGAATGAAAATAACTATGAGCTCAGGTTTTAAAAAATTAGGCTCTGAAATTTTCTCACCAAATTAGCCATATATTTCATTGAAACATTTGAGATCAAAGTCAGTGAAAAAGCATCACTGTGACTTTCTCTAGTCCCAAGGGGGTATAATTTTCTATTTCGCCTTTTCAAACATTTAATAAATAGCCAAAAAGTGCTTTTACTTATCAACTTTTGTACCACTCTCTTCAAAGAGCCCACAAAACCATGGGATAAACAAGACTTTAGCGCCATGACCAAGCTCACATCAATGAAACCACATCTCAAAAAGGCTGACTGTTACACTAGCTGGGACTCTGATCAAGTCCAGCACCCTAGGAAACCAAAATCCAAGTGGTGATTGACTTGTCCAGGGTCACGACGGGATTTAATGACAGAGCAGAAACTGATTCTACCAACATGTGTTTACATGGTACCAGTGGACTTAAGTTTAGGTACTGGGATGCTTGTTTTTGTTCTTGGACACTTTCCACCATCAACTCCAAAAGTAATTTCTCTCTGATTTATTATTTTTTTTACAGACGCACAAGGCAGAACCTCCCTTCTATCCCACCCACTGCAGCTTATATCTGCTCTATCTTCTTGTGACTTGAAAATGAGTTATAGATGTTCTCTCTGTTTTCATAACTCATAAGCACTGTACCATCAAGATTTCATCTTGACATCAAGAGTGCTAGGCACATTTTTATAGCATGCATCATATACTTAGTATCATTACAACTCCCCGAAGTTACATGCCACTTGCTTTTCAAACCAGTTGCCCAGTCAGTCAATTCTACATCATGGCACCCCATGTGTGTCAGAGTAGAACTCTGCTCTACAGGGTTTTGCAATGAGTAATTTTTTAAAAAAGCAGATCACCAGATCTTTCTTCTTAAGTGCATAGACTCAGTGCATTTGAGTCTGGGTAGACTCAAACCAGTAACTTTCAGTTGCAGCCAAACTCATTAACTGTTTGTACCACCCAGAGACTCCCATGTTACTTGGATAAAAGCAATATGATAGCTCATAGACTAGTCCATTATATTATTGTCATTGTTACTGTGTGCTGCCCAGTTGATTCTGACTCATAGTGATCCTATATGGCAGAGCAGAACTCCTAGGCCGTAAGAAGATCATCAGATGTTTTTTTTTCCTGAGAAACCACTGAGTGGGTTGGGACAGGCAACCTTTTGATTAGCAGCCTAGCACTTAACCATTGCATCGCCAGGCCTCCAGTACATAAACCAAAACCAAACTCACTGCTATCAAGTCAGATCTGACTCATAGCGACCCCTCCTTGGGTTCCCAAGGCAGTATCACTATGGAAGTAAATTGCCCAGCATTCCTTCCAAGGAGTGGCTGGTGGGTTCAAACCACCAGCCTTCTGGTTAGCAGTCAAATGCCTTAGGCACTATGCCACATCTCAATTTTCTCCCCTCATTCCATCACTACCAGCCATCATTGCTATTAAAATCCACAACCAAACCCACTGCCACTGAGTCAATTCCAACTGATAGTGATCCTTTAGGACAGAGTAGAACTGTCTTATAGTACTTCCAAGGCTATATATCTCTACAGAAGCATACTGCCTCATCTTTCTCCCACAAAGTGGCTGGTGGGTTCTAATTGCCGACCTTTTGGTTAGCAGTGGAATGCTTTAATCACTATGCTATCAGCGCTCTTAAATCAACAACAGTTGTTAAATATTCTGTCAAATTCAATTCATATATTCATTTAAGGGACTCAGTCATTTCATCTTAGTTTCCTGCTCAATAAAAAATATTAATATCTACCTCTGAAACAAAGACATACTAGAGCTGGAGCAGTACACCCAAGAAAGACTGCCTGATGGAAAAACACATCAATACCTTATTTTATCAAACTTAAGATGCCATCTACTATAACATGTACCTTATTTTCTGTACTATGAAGAACATGCACTGCCAATTAAACTAGTGCATGGAGTCCAGATTTCAGAGATGTTGAGATATAAAACCATGCATATCTTAGAATCAATGAAATTCCAGAACAATAGCTCAAAAAATTCTTTTAACTCTTGTTCATGCTCTTCTGTTCTCGGAATGCTCTTACTTGTCTATCTAGTGAAGACCTATACATCTTTTAGGCCTTGATTCAAAGGTCACCTCCTCTATGATCCATGTCGTTCTCCCAAATGCCTACTGGGTCCAGTCTAATTGCTGCTGAGTCAACTCCGACTCATGATGACCCCATGTATATCAGAGTAGAACTAAGCTCTGTATGGTTTTCAATGGCTGATTTTGCAGAATTAGATGCCAGGCCTTCTTCTGAAGTACCTCTAGATAGACTTGAACCTTTAACCTTTGGTTAATAGCCGAGCATGTTAACCATATTTACCACCTGGACATTCCTGCCGGCTTTTGTTGACCCATCACCCCCTATAACACATCTGCCTCAGCACCTACAATGTTTCAGGGAACTGAAACTTCCATGACTCTCACCCTTCCCCTTCACCTGGAGTTTTGTGAAGACAATGTCATTGTCTGAGGCATCTCCTTCCTCAACACCTAGCCCAGGGCCTGGTACATAGCACACAATAAAGTCTGTCCAATGAAGTCAAGAATGAATGCATGAGAACAAAATGTTCAGTTACAGCATTATTCAAAACAGCTCGACAGTGGAAACAAACTAAATGTCCATCAGCAGATGAATGGATGAACAAAAAGAGAGTAGTCTATCCATTCCAATAATGGAATATTATTCTGCCATAAAGAGAACTGAAGTCTTGATACATGCTACAACATGGATGAACCTAGAAAACATCATGCTGAGTACAACAGACAAAAAAGGGCAAATATATGATTCCACTTATACAAAATAGCTAGAATAGACAAATGTACAGAGACTGAAGATTATTAGTGGTCGCCAGAGGGTGGAATGAGGCAGAAATGGGGAGTCATTGTTTAGGGGACACTGAGTTTCTGTTTAAGGGTGGTGGGAAAATTTAGAAATGGATAGTGGTGACAGTTGTGCCATATGATGAATGTAATTAATGTCATTGAATCATACATGTGAAAAATGTTGAAACAGCAAATGTTTGTGTGTGTGTGTGTGTGTGTGTATACAACATGAAAAATAATAGTTACAAGTAAACATTAAATACTGGCAAGTAACTTCCACTAAAACCTTTCTTGTTTTCTTTATTGAAACACAGTGCCATTTTTCAAAAACTCTAAGCCAATTTTTTGATGTTCTTTACAGTACTGATTACTAGGTCATGATGGAAGATAGTGTTAGTGGGAGTAGTAATTATAATTTCATCTTCCTGGACCAGAAGTTCACACTGGCTGCTTCTGTACTCTTCTAGCCTGGATCCAAACATTCTCTTATTTCTTTGCTCTAAAATAAACATTATCCTTCCCTCCACAATGTCTCCATCATATCATCTCCTTCTCCTTAATTCACTGTTGTGACCTCATCTGTCCACAGATGAGTGATAGCCTGTTTTAGACTGAATTGGGTCCCTGAAAAGATATGTTGACATCCCAACCCCTGTACCTGTGAATATGGCCCTGTTTGGAAATAGTTTGTCTGTTTTTGTGTTAATGAGGTCATAGTAGAATAAGGTGGGTCCTAAACCTAATCTCTTCTGACTGATACAGAGGGAAAAGACAGACACTGTGTGACAACAGAGGCAGATACATCTACAACTCAGAAACACCCAGGATTGCTGGCAGCTACTAGAATACCCTCAACAAGATGGACTGACACAGTGGCCACAACAATGGGCTCAAACGTGGCAATGATTGTGAGGATGGCACAGAACCAGGCAGTGTTTTATTCAGTTGTACATATGGTCACTACAAGTCAGAGCCAACTTGACGGCACCTAGCAACAACAACAACAACAACAACAACTAGAAGCTGAAAGAGACGAAGGACTACCTTCCCCTATAGCCATGTCCT